AAGTTCTTGATTATTGTCCATTGTATGGCTAGTGAAGATCTTTTCCCAATCCCTTGACTTTCTATTGATCTTGCTAGCTATGTTCTTTGCCATACAGAAGCTCTGCAGTTTTCACACACTCCCATTTGTCTAACATTTCTTTGATTTGTTGTGTTTCTGGGTCTCTATTAAGAAAATTTTGAAAAAAAAAAAAAAAAAGAAAAAAAAGAAAATTTTGGCCTGCGCCAAAAAACCCTAGAGTTTCTCCTATTCCTGTAACGTTTTCAGAGTGTCTGCTTTGACTCCGAGGTCTTTGATCCATTTGGAGTTGATTCTGGTGCAGGGTAATATATAGGGATCTAGCTTTAGTTTTCTACAGGTGTTTAACCAATTTTGCCAGCACCATTTACTGAAGAGGCTGTCTTTCTTCCATTCTATTTTTTTAGCTTCCTTATCGAAGATTAGTTGGCTATAGGTCTGTGGGTTCATTTCTGGTTCAGTTCTATTCCACTGGTCCTCAGGTCTGTTCTTGTGCCAGTTTTGATTACTATGGCTTTGTAGTAGAGTTTGAAATTTGGTATTGATATTCCTCCAGCACTGTTCTTTCTGTTGAGGATCGTTTTTGCTGTTTGGGGTCTTTTATTGTTCTATATGAATTTTTGGGTTGCTTCTTCTATTTCATTGAAGAATGAGGTTGAAATATAGATAGGTATCGTATTGGATTTGTAGATAGCCTTTGGAAGTATTGCCATTTTCACGATGTTGATCCTCCCAATCCAAGAGCATGGGAGGTTTTTCCACTTCCTAAGTTCTGCTTTAATTTCCTTTTTCAGGTTTTTAAAGTTTTCATCGTAGAGGTCCTACACTTCTTTAGTTAACTCTTAGGTAGCTAACAAATTCAATTTTAAATTTGAAAAATTGAAAAGTTTTAATTTTAATTCAACATCAGGGAATTTTGGAGGAGAGTTTATTACCTTAGTTATGGCAATGATAATATACCTGTATGCATATTTGCAAACTCATCAAATTTTATACATTAAACACATACAGTTTTAAAAATACTAGTTGTAAAGATCTTTTAAAGATCTTCCTTTTACTGTGTCAAAAAGTACTTTGCTTCCTGTGTCAGCAAGTAAGGATTATGTTTGTACATGTCTTCCAAACCTGCCTCCTGAGCCTCGGTGATTCTGAGGTCCTGTCCTGTTCTCAGGCTCCCATAATGCACTCTGTCCATCATTGTACTTAGTGTCTAGTATCCAGAGGCTTCTCAGTTACTGCTACCTGTGGGACAGCCAAGGTAAACTCAGACAAGGAGATGCAATGAGGAGAAGCATGGATCTTTAAATGATATCATTTTCAGATGGGAAACTGAGCCTTAGCAACATGAAGTAACTTGGGAACAGATAGTTTTGAAATTGGGCAGGAATCCTGGAAGCCATGCTTACAGGGATTTGAACTCAGAGCCCTGTACTTGCTAGACAGACACTCTGTCACAAGAAAGCACACTCCTAGCTATTTTGCTTTCATTATTTTTTCAAGCTGAACCTCTTGTTTTTAGCCTGGGCCTTGCCTTAGACCAGATTCTCCTACCTCTCAAAGAGCTGGGATTACAGATGTGTACCACCACACCCAACCCTGGAAATGCACATTTAGCCACAATGCTAAATTATGCAATTTAGCACAATCAACTAAATTATGAATCAGCTTTTGTGAGTCCAAGCAGAATTCATCCAAATGCTTTCCTTGCAAATTTACTATGTCTCTGGGAAACTTAAAAAGAAATTCGTGGGTTGCAATCTATTCTTGAATCATCAAATCAATCAAATGATAAGATTTGAGGAAATACAATAGAAAATAACAGATGACACTATTCTTAGAATTGCTCCATGGCAGTTGTGCTTATTACATACTTACCTCCATGTGTTTGGTTGAGGTGTGACTACATTTCCCTCTACAGATTGTAGTCACTTCAAGAAGAGGTTTCTTTTGTGAAGTTAATTAGAAAAACAACAACATCTATGGTTGATCTGTGTCTCCTAAGGGCCAGCCCTTAAAAATGGTAATATATGCCTGTAATCCCAGTGAGAGGCTGAGATTTTCTTTTAAAAGAAACACACACACACACACACACACACACACACACATTCACACTCACATACAGCATAGTGCACGTCTAGAATCCCAGGTACTGGGGGTAGGAGACAGGGATAAAAGGATTGTGGTCCAGGGTGGACGCAAGCAAAAATGTGAGACCCTATCTGAGAAACAACTAAAGCATAAAAGGCTTGAATGGTAGAGAATTTGCTTACCAAACATGAGGCCCTGAGTTCAAATCTCTGCACTGCCCAAGAATGAAATAAATAAAAGCCCCACTCTTCCTTGATCCCATAGCATGAGGTTAATCCTAATGGAAAGGCACAATGCCAGCATGCACCCTGACAAACAAGCCTGCTTCAATACACACACATAAGACCACAGAATCCTTCCAGCACACCTGGGTCATTCCCAGGGAATTGGCAGTATCAGAAACAAAAGATCTTTCTTTCAGAATAGCCCATCCCAACAGCCTCTCACACTCTATTCCTTGGAGTGCTAAGAAATGCTTCTGTCTCTCCAAGAGCTAATCAGACCTCACCCCTTCCTTTTACTCAGCAAATCCACTATACTGCTATCTCACTCATTTTATCTCTGCCTATTCTCAACCTACTTCAGATTAAATGCTTCATTTTAGCCAGAGAAGAGAAAGCAAGCTGAAATAGAGTGACTAATAAAGGAAATGAAATTCAATGTAAAGTAACAATTAGGTGAGTGTGTGTTTCTCAGACCATAAGGGTACATGAGGACCTTGTTAAATGCCAATAGTGATTCAGTATGTCTGTGGTGGGGCCTGGCATTCTCTGGTGCTGCTGAAGTTGCTGGTCTATAAGACATGTTTGAGTAGCAAAGGTTTTTCTGTAGAGGTTGACATGAAGTGGATATAAAAATACTTGCTAAATTGAATTCAGTTCAAATAGTGAATTTGGGTTTATCTTGGGACTAGTCAACAAGGACAAGGTGAAGCAATTAGCTAAATGAATGGTTTACAGTCCTGCTTCATGTAAAAAAAAAAAATCATCTGGGGCTGGGAAGGTGGCTCAGTGGTAAAGCCCTTGCCTTGTATGCCTGAGGCCCTCGGTTCGATTCCTCAGCACCATAAAAGCAAAAAGAAAAAAATCCGGAAGTGGCACTGTGGCTCAAGTGGTAGGGTGTTAGCCTTGAGCTGAAGAGCTGAGGGACAGTGCCCAGGCCCAGAGTTCAGGCCCCACGACTGGGCCCTCTCCTCCCCCCCCCCCAAAAAAAAATCATCCAGTAAATCTTTATAAAACTCTAAAGTTTGAGCCCCTTCCTTCAGAGATGCTGATTTAATCTGTCTGGAGCAGCTCTTGAAATGATCCTAGCATATAGCCAGATTAGAGAACCAGCAGTCTCAACAAAACTGTGTCATTGTTTGCTAAATGCAAGGCATTGGAAAATGGGGGAGATACTGGCAGTTCAGTATCATTTCTTTTTCTCAAAGTATTTTTCTAGCAAGGCTGCTGGTAGCTCATGCCTGTAATCCTAACTACTCAGGAGGCTGAGATCTGAGGATCATGGTTCGAGGCCAGCCTGAGCAGGAAAGTCTATGAGACCCATATCTCCAATTAATCACAGGAAAAGCTGGAAGTGTATCTGTGGCTAAACTTGTAGAGCACTAGTCTTGAGCAAAAAAGGCTCAGGGACAGAGCACCGGCCCAGAGTTCAAGCCTCAAGACCTGCAAAAAATTAATAAAAAAAATCTAATTTCCCTTCTAGTTTTTCTTTGTGTGACTTTGATTCCCTTTAATTATTTAGGTGGGTTTTTTGTTTGTTTTTGTTCCTGGGGCTTGAACTCAAGAGCCTGGGCACTGTTCTTGAGCTTTTGCACTCCAAGTCTAGTGCTCTACCACTTTGAGCCACAGCTCCACTTCCAGTTTTCTGGTGATTAATTGGAAATAAGAGTCTCACAAGTTTTCCTGCCAGGGCTGACTTTGAACCACAATCCTCAGAACTCAGCCTCCTGAGTAGCTAGAATTATAAGTGTGAACCACCATTGGCTGGCTCAGTTGTCTTTTAACTTAGAGAGAAGAAAAGTATTACAAACTGTCTTTAAATTTATCTTTTATTTTTTCTTTAAATGGATTGAGTTACTTTTTCATGTTCTTTAGCCTTTGGGACTTCCTTTGGGATGTCTTTAGAGTGTGTCTCAGAAACAAAAATAAAGATAAAGCAGAATAAAATAAGATACATTTCTTCCCACACTTCTGAATATTCTGTTTTTGTCTGCTGGTCGAAAGACAGAATTTGGGGGAGATATGGAAGGACTTTCTATGTGTTGGGATCTATAAACACACATTCATGCATATATGTCAAAAGAGGCCGAGGAGGTCAGACACTCAGGATGTTACCATCTCTTCTTGTTGCAATCTGTTTCCCGAGTCCTGAGGTTTTAATTTTTGTTTGTTTCCCGTTGTTAACCATCTCCTGGGTGTGATTCATTACATCTTCGTTCGGAAGCATCCTCATCCACAGGGCCAACGGCCTGAGCGCGTCTCAGGGTGGCGGCTCCTCTAAGGAAGCTTCTTCCCCGTGGACCAAGGCTGTCGTTTAGTTCAGTAGTTCAAAATTCCCTGCAGGTGACGCGGTCGCAGAACGTGGGATCCGAAATCAGCGCTGCCGGAGGAGGCGGTTCCAGCCGGGGGCGGGGCCCGCGCGACCAAGGATCGCGGGGTGCGCATGCGCGGAGAGTGGGCGGGGCTTGGGCGGGGCCGCTCGCGGCTTCTAGAGCGACGGCGGCTGTGGTGGTGGCTGAGTTCAGGCTGCGCGCGGGCAGCGGGTTCGCGGCCGGAGCCGGCGCCGCGGGCCGGGGCTGGAGGACCAGCCCTTGAGTTCCCTCCAGACTTCCCCACCACGCAGTGACGCTGTTGCGGCTAGGCCCGAGCGCATCGCCCGGAGCGACGCAGGACAGCCGGGCGACGGGTGCCACGGGCCAGGGCGCGCCAGGTAAGTGGGCCGGGTCGGTCCGGGCCGGGCCTGAGCCGCGCGGCGGCGGCTGGAAGCCGGCGGCCAGGACGGACCTGGGTGCGGGGAGCGCATCTCGGTTCCCTGCTGGGCCGGACCGGGACGGCGCCCGTGGTTGTCATGGAAATGCACAGCCTAGCAGTTCGCTGACGGTGGCGTCTGTGGAGAACAGTCGGAGCCGGGCCGACCGGTACCCACAGAAGGACGGGTCGCCCGGGGCTGGCGGGAGTTGCAGGATGCTGGGCGCAGGGCCCGGTGCCTGGGTCGCTGCGCCTGCCTGGGTCGCTGCGCCTGCCTGGTGCGTCTCCGGGGTTGGATCCAGTGACTCCAGACCCTGAAGGCCTCGCTCTGTTTTGAGTGTCAACAGAATCACGTAAAAATAAACGTGCGACTTGGCTTAGGAACTGGGTTTCCATCTTCTAACTCTCCTTCCCTTTTCTTCCCGTCCATAGCCCCGATAGCGTGTCTTGAATTTTAGCTTTTTATGTTTCTATTTCTCTTTGGTTTTGCCAGTCAGTTAATTGAGGCCTGAGAGATTTGCTGGGATCTGTGTTTGTCTTTTGAAAGCCAGTCGTGAAATGTGTAGGCCATAGAAGACTGAAACACTCAAAATGTCAGACGTAAATTTATATCTTTGTAGGAGAGGGAGAGCAGTGTTGATGGGCTCCACTTCCCTACCCCCCTTGTAGCCTGCCCTCTGACATTACATAATGATGGGTTCCTCCTGCCCAGAGTTGACAGGTCATGCAAATATTCCTCTGGGTACCAAAAAAGTGTAGGCAGTTATAAAACCCATCATCTAGTCTTTTGCTTTGCCTCTGAATGGGTTTTGTATTGAGAGATTGCTAAAAGGTAGAATGTGATTTGTCACCTGCCCATTAGGGTATCAGAACCAAAGAGGGGGAAGGGGGCATTGGCGCTGGATGTTGGTGTGTTCCAGTGGAATTCTGGCTGGTTCGTCTGTGTTTACAGCGGATTGTGTGGAATATGGGGACACTCCTGGGGCTAGGTAAAGGGACAGAGCAGCTTGACCTGAGTGTGAATTCTGGCTTGTATCACATGCAAACTCTGGCTTTTAATGCCCCCCTACTCCTTGTTTTTTTTTTTTTTTGTCGGTTGTGGGGCTTGAACTCAGGGTCTGGGTGCTGTCCCTGAGCTCTTTCTCTTTCACTCAAGGCTAGTGCTCTACCACTTAGCCACAGCACCACTTCCAGTTTTTCTGGTTGTTAGTTGGAGATAAGAATCTCACAGACATTCCTGCCTGGGCTGGCTCTAAACTGCAATCCTCAGATCTCAGCCTCCTGAGTAGCTAGGATTATCGTGGGAGCTACCTAGGCCCAGCTAATGTTCTCATTTTTAAAAGATGAAACAGATCCTCCTTTGCTGAGTTTGTTTTGAAATCTAGCTGGCTTCAGTATCGATACACAGTCTAAGATGTAGATTATCCTAGAATTAAGCCTAATTTTTCCTTTTTTTTTGGGGGGGGGGTGGGGGGTCTGGTCGTGGGGCCTGAATTCTGGGCCTGGGTGCTGTCCCTTAGTCTTCAGCTCAAGGCTAGCGCTCTACCACTTGAGCCACAGTGCCACTTCCGGCTTTTTTTTTTTTTGCTTACGTGGTGCTGAGGAATCGAACCCAGGGCCTCATGCATGCAAGGCAAGTGCTCTACCACTGAGCCATCTTCCCAGCCCTAAGCCTAATTTTTCTATGATTGAAAACAATCTTTAATAGAGATTTTATCTTTTGATTTAGGCTAGAGCCTTTGTTTTGGGCGTTCTTTGGTCTCTTCAGCTGGTACCCATGTAGGGAGTTAATGTGGTAGTTCTACTGGAATGTCAGTGACTGAAGACCAGGATAACTTTCCAGTAGGGGCATTGCATGTGAACAGAGCTGCTCTGGGCCTTGATCCCTGTAGTGTCTTGCACACTCTAGCAACAAGCTAAAGTCACTGGCAGGGTCTGGCTCAAAGGCAGGTATTAAAGACCTGGATGCTGAATAAATTCAAAGAGAAAGGAGGCCTAAATTTGTGCTGAGCTTTCTGATAGAATTAGCTGTACTTACCCAGCTATGGTATCTTTTTAACTTGTTTTTCATTTGTCATCTTCCATCTCAAATTACTCATTTACTTAGCTAAGCCTTTCCTATGCAGACTTATACTCAGGACAGACCTTAGCTTATTCTATTGTTGTGGAAACTAGATCTTTCGTAATATTACTGTTAAAATAAATATTAGTACTTTTAAAAAGGTCACCTTAAGGAAATGATGAAATGAAGTAATGTGTACATATATATATATATATATATATATATATATATATATATGCTTTTGCTAAGTGGTAGAACAGCAGCAGAGAGATGGTATGTATGATAGAGAACTACTGGTCCAACAAGTCTCTTTAGCTGGCTGCCTATCTGGAGCATTTATAGTCAGCATCCCTGGGAATTCACCATAGAAATGGGTTGGGAAAACACTGGGATCACCTAACCCTGTCACCACCTAGTGGTAGAACATCTCAATCATTTCAGTAAGCCATGTGCTGGTGATTCAAGCCTGTAATCCTAGCTACTCAGGAGGTGGAGATCTAAGGACTGTGGTTCAAAGCCAACCCAGGCAGGAGAGTCTGTGAGATTCTTATCTCCTATTAACCACTAAAAAAAACTGGAAATGGAACTGTGGCTCATGTGGTAGTGTGCTAGCCTTGAGCAAAAACAGCTCAGAAACAGTGTTAGGTCCTAAGTTCAAGCCACAGGACTGGCAATAAATAAATAAATAAATAATCCAGCAGATTAGAGCAGGAACTTCCAACTAAGACTGTTTTATCCTATTTGTGCTTCTTAATTAAGAACTCCTCCTTGTTAACATATATTCCAGAAAAGTTCCCACAGCATCATCAACTGTTTATAGTGTCAGAAGGCTTTGAAAAAATAGCACAAGTCTGCAGTGAAGAAGGCTTGATTATATCACTGGTTCTTTGTGGAACTTAATTCATGTGTTGGTGAGGGATCCAGAATGAAGGTCTGACTTGAGTGCCAGCTGTGGATGAGAAAGCTGAGTAAGAGCCCGAGGCCTTGAGTTCAAGCCACAAAAATAAAGTGAAGCCGGGTACCAGTGGCTCATGCCTATAATCCTAGTTACTCAGACAGCTAATATTTGAGGATTGAGGTTTAAAGCCAGCAGGAAAGTTTATGAGACTCTTCTCTCTAATTAACTACCTAAAAAGCTGAAGTGGAGCTGTGGTTCAGTGATAGAGTGCTAGCCTTGAGCAAAAAAGCTCAAGGACAATGCTCAGGCCCTGAATTCAAGCTCCATGACTTATAAAAAAAATTAAAATTATAGCTTCCTTCTCCCCTCCACCCCTGGTTGTGTGGCAACAAAAGTTCCGTGAGCAGAGCCTACTTTGGGGCGAACATATCAACCAGGCTTGTTGTATTTTGCCTGCCTGTCTCCCTGCTTGGAAGGACAGTTTGATCATCCTCAGGAATTTACCTATATTTCTAAGCATATGCATACTTAGCTCTCTTACTTTTTATTTTTATTTTTGTATTTTGATTTCAGATCATTGAAAAGTTGGCAAGAATAAGCTGGGCACTGCCTGTAATATTAGCTACTCAGGAGGCTGAGATCTGAGGATGATGGTTTGAAGCCAGCCTGGGAAGGCCTGTGAGACTCTTATATCCAATTAACCACCAAAAATCCAGACATGGAACTGTGACTCAAGTTTTAGAGAGCTAGTCTTGAGCACAAAAGCTCAGGGACAGTACCCAGGGCCTGAGTTCAAACCCTAGGACTGGGACCAAAAAAAAAAAAGGTTCAAGGATAGTGTAAGGAATTCACAGATACCCTTTATCTAGATTTTTATATTATTAACATTTTCTTATATTTCTTTTATTCTTCTCTTCAATATTTAGTAGCAGTTTGCAGCCTCTGTGCCCTTATAGCACCAAATATTTGTTATATGTTTCATAAAAACAAAGATACTCTCTTATATCACAAGACAGGAAAATTAACGTTAAGAAAATGCTATTTTTTAAATGTAAGGTCCTTTTCAGATCTTGCCAGTTGCTCCAATAAGGTTCTTTTTAGCAAAAGAAAATTCTTAGCTCATTTATGGCAAAGAAAACCCATAACTCTTTTGTGGCACTATGTTGTACCATCTTTTATCTTCTTTAGTCTGGAACAGTTCCTGAATCTTTCTTTGTTTTCATGACATTGACATTCAAGACTACTGCCTTGTTTTTAGATAATATCTTTCAGTTTGGATTTCTTGTGGTTTCCTGGTGATTAGATTCAGGTTATGTATGGTAGTAATACTGCTGATGCTGCAGTTTTACTAGTTTGTTTTTTTTTAATCTAAGGACACATGCCAAGCTTTATCCATCCCCTTCACTTGGCTTGTTAACTTTCATTACTTGATTAGGATGGTATCCACATCCTTGAAAAGTTATTTTCCTTTCATGATTAGTATGTATCTCCTAGAGGAAGAATTTGAGACTATGTTAATACACTGCTGTTCCTCATTCTCTCACCCACTAGTTTTATAATCCATTGATGCTTGATTCTTATCTGAATCATTATAAGAATTGACAGATGGTAATTGACTAAGTCCTCATTTCCTTCTACATTTATTAGTTGGAATAATACTGAAAAGAACTTTTCTTTCTACCATATTTATTTACTTTTTGATTTACTACTCTGGATTCATGAATTTTTGCTTTACTCAACAGATCATAGTCTATTACACTCACTGTGCATTGTATTGCTCAAATTGCTCCAGATTTGGCCAGTGGGAGCCCCTGCAGCTGGCTGTTAGTTTCTTTTGACTTGTCCCACTCATTCTTTGAGAATTTCTTTTCTTTCTAGCACAAAATCTCGTCTTGGCTTGTATTTTCCTTGCCCTAACCCTGGAATCAGCTATGGTTAGGGCTCATTTTCTACAGTCCTGGTTCGTTTTGGTGGGGACTAGTGTTAGAAACCAAGATGTGGG